TTAAATTATTAGAATATTACAAAGGAATATTATATGATTATTGTTCTCCCTAATTCCAATATGGGATTTTTCAGTATGGCCTTGAGAATCAAGCTGAAACATTTCATGCTTGTCTCTTGTAAATTAGGGCCAAAGGAGCCATAAATATTTTCGGCAGGCACAAAAAAATAAATAAACAAACGCTTATCGCAGTTTGAAATAAAAGAATAGAATTAAAATATACAGTTTCTTTTAGGTCAGCTCATAGGCGGGCAACATTGTTATTGTCCTATGAGTAAAGGGTTATTTAAATAAAATAAAATGTTTTATGGACAGACCCATTGCGAGCCTTCTTTTTTGGGAATGAACTGTCACATTAAATCTGCTCAGTTACGTATTGCTGTCCAGATTTGCAGATGAAGATATTGAAGTATTTCATTATACTGATTTATTTATATTTGTTTATGTGACTTTAACAGAAGATAAGAATATATTTGTGTATCATATTATCAAATTCATCTTGATTGAATTATGTTTAGCTTTATTACTTTCCGCAATTATCCTGTGTAGCGTAATTAGTCTTGAGAAGTAGTTTGGTTAGGTTAGGTTCCGTAGTGTAGTTTGCCTTGAAGAGTAGTTATCCCCGTAGCGTAGTTTGGCCTATTACCTTGAGCATTATATTTAGCCTGTTTGGCACTTTCTCTGTGTGAGAACAGTCTTTTGTGACTAGCCTGTGTGGCATATTCTCTGTGTGAGAACAGTCTTTGTGACTAGCCTGTGTGGCATATTCTCTGTGCGAGAACAGTCTTTGTGACTAGCCTGTGTGGCATATTCTCTGTGTGAGAACAGTCTTTTGTGACTACCCTGTATAGCGTAGTTAGTCTTGAAGAGTAGTTATCTCCGTAGCGTAGTATGGCCTCTTAACTTGTGCATTATATTCTCTGTATCAGAACAGTCTTTGTGACTAGCCTGTGTGGCACATTCTCTGTGTGACTACATGCCTTTGTGGCATATTATTATTGTTTTAAAACATGTGTCTTTTATGTTGGAATATTAAGAAACTATTCAAGTACCTGTTTAATATTAAATTAAACATATTATAACATTAAAATAACATTGTTGCTCACACCATTTTTCTCTTTAATTGCAGGTAGGTCATCTCGGTAGCCAGGTCATACAAGACTTTTGTTGCTATATATCATTTGTCCATTTGCAGAGCTCAGATCAAAGTTGGCTATTACCATTAGTAACGTACCATCAATTAGTATTATTTTTATTTTATATTATTAGTTGTATTTTATTATACAACATTTACGCCCTTTAAATTTGTTTTATGGTTTTTATTTTTAATTTTGAGTTGACAGTTTGAAAAAAAACTTTTTGGCCCTTACACTAATTTACTACAATCTGTGATGTACATAGTAATATATACTACAACTTTCATAATGCAATGTTCTCCACTTTATTTAAAAAAAATAAGAAACTTTGTGTTTGTTTTATTCGTCAGTCCATTGTGGGTTTATTTAAATTTGAAATTCGCGCCAAATATCACCGACTCAACATCAAATCCCTGTTTGAATTTTAATGTTGGTAATGAAGTTGTTGCGGACCGCACAATTTGACGACCGCCATAACTGTACCAGCGCTTGAGTTGTGTTTGTCGTCTATACACGTGCTGAGTCAGTCAAAATTTCAGTCCCGTGGTGAGTTATTATTTTCTTGTTAATCTGAGGTTTATTTTCATTTATACATAGTCAAAACTATGATTTCTTAAAATGTAGTCTGTTGATATTCGAAATTACAAAAAAAACATTAGTTCTGAATATAACCTCAAATTATGCCTTTTTCGTCAGTCCGTTGGCGTCAGTCCTTTGTCAGGTATCGCGCCAGAGGACTGACGTGTTTCCATTGTACTGATACTTTTTGTTTTAGAGTACTTTTATCATAATTGCTACCGTGTTCTATGTTATATTTCAGTTTAAAACATCATGCGGCACGCTAAAAACAAATTGAGTAGGGAAGAAATACTAAAAAAAAGAGAGAAGCCGAAAAAGCTCGCTTAGCCAGAATTAAAAGCGACCCCATTAAATTAGCGGAATACAAAGAAAAACAAAAACTTCAGTATTTAAGAAAAAAAGAGAAAGGGCAAATAAAAAATGTTGAAGACATGACACCACGAAAAAAGCAACGAATAACTAGAAAAAAATGGAAAAATTATTCATCAAACTACAGGCAAAGAAAACAGCTATTGAAACAAACCACTAATAATTTTATACACCAGAATACTCCTCCACCAACTGACGACGAAATACAGCCCATAGTTAATGAAGAAATCAGACCTGTTATTAACGAAGACCATAGAGAAAATGAAGCTAAAAAGAGAAGTGAAAGACAGAAAAAATCTAGAAACAGGGAACAAACAGGGTTTCAAACCTTAAAACTAAACTAAATACTTAGCGTCAAAAATATAAACGACTCAAAAAGCAGTTAAAAAAGTAATAAAATCCGTTGAAAAAACGCTAAAGACCAGAATTGAAGACATGAGTGAAGATATAACTAGAAAGAAAGAGTTAGTGAAGAAGGCCCTTTTTGGGGAAGTTATTAAAACACAATTGGAGAAAACTACACTAAACTAAAGACTCATGGAAGAAAGAAACAAATTTAAACAAGTTATGTCTGGAAATGTAGTAGACAAATACAAACTATGGAGAATAAAAAACAAAGCAGTCACCTATAAAAAAACTGGGCATAACCTGACAAATAAAAAAATAAATAAAAGCAAAATTAGAATATAAGGATTAGTGCAGAAATTTTTTGAAGATGATTCTAACAGCCGTCAAGCTGCAGGTAAGAAAGAATTTGTGTCTCGTAAACAAGTTAAAAACCAGAAGAGATATTTACTTGATACCATGAAAAATTTTCATAAGAGATTTTTGAAAACCACTCCATGTACCGGGTATCCCACTAAGAATAGCTCTCGGCTGTATCTCGGAAAGTATTAGCCGTAGGGTTTACGGAAAAAAATATTTATAACTAAAGGGGCTATGAGAAATTGCTGGAAATTATTTTCAAGCTTATAGAACCACCGCTAGGGGGCACAACTGCAACAAAAAATATGAAAATGGAGTTTTACACAATTTTGCCTAGATAAGGTATACTATAAGTAATAGCTTCATAATCTTCAGTAAATTTTGAATATTTTTTGTTAAAGCCATTTTCCCCTATCTACCAAAATAAAGTGGTGGGGGAAGGTTAGATCTGTTTTTATTTAAATATTAATAACTCTGGACTGGATGATCGGAATCCAACAAGCGAGGGCTCGTTTAAAAGAGCGTTTCTTACTCTATATTGTACCATATAAACAATAATAATAAGCTTTTGAACATAGACACTAGGGGGCGTTGTCTTACAATTTAACAAACATTGCGCGTTTTTTCAAAAAAATTAAATGCAATAGTATATGTAATTTTAGCTGATAGTAAAGAGTAGTAAAAGCTTAAAAAGTCAGCGAAAACCGCATTTTGATATCTTCTTTCAAACCGAAGATATTAGCAAAATGATAATAAAAACCAAAAAATAAGTCCTTAAGCCTAGTTCATGCACTTGCGAATTGCGATTTGCGAAATGGGTTCTGATTGGTCGCCTTCAAGGTCTTTTCAACTTTCTGCGATTCGTATTATTTGAATTTAGTGGGCGGGAAAAATTGAAATCCTTTCAAAATTTTACGAAATTCGCAAGAGTAACTGACAGACGCGTGCGTACTTTGAGCTTGACACAGAAACTGATTTAACCCTATTCTATTATTTATTGTTGTGTTTTTGTTTTCTATGGTTGGGTTATTCGATTGTGGTATTTTACTTTAGAACTGTTGAGTATTTTTTTACATATTATTATTGAATTGACAATTTGAAGATGTCGAGCAATGAAGAGGTATGTATGTAATTTGTTAGAATTAGCTGTGTTATTCGTGTAATTAAAAAACAAACAAGGAATACAGTCACACCAACTAATCCATTTATTTAATTTGTGACTTCTTTATATCATTTGACTAGATTTCTTCTAGAATATTGTGATATATTCTGGAAAAATCTCCTAAAAGGCCTCTAACAATGATTAGTTTCATTTTTAAATTAGTTTCAAATTTATTAAGTTCACAATAATGTTATATTTGTTCAGCAAAAATACATTAAACAGTTATTCTTCTTTGGACTTAGTGTGTTTTAAACATAGTTAATAAGCATTATGTTGTTCAATGTTGAGTGTGAATGTGGGGAAACCATGAATTTGGAGGAATTCGCAAGTCACAGATGTGACTGGCAAGGTTTAAACGATCTTGCCCTTGGCTCTGTAGGTACTAACAGTAGTCGAAAATCTGAAGACGATAATTCTCTTATACCGAGGCTGGTAGAAGCAATACAAACTCGACCAGCTCTTTGGGACCATAAAAAAAAATGGACCTTTAAAAGTAAGGGGTAAAGCTGTTCGTGAGAGGCTATGGAGAGAAGTCCACAAAGAAATTGGTGAACAAGTACCTCTTCCTCAGTTGGAGAAAAAATGGCGGAATCTAAAACATACATTCCTTAAACATTTAAAGTGAGACATTTAAGCATATATTAACTTTAACACACTGTTAGTCAGTTTAGATCCTCATATCTTTATTAAAAAAAATAGTTTTTTTAGGACACATAATCCATCAGGTTCAGGAGTGGATGGGCTGAAAAAATGGAAACATTTCGATTTAATGTATTTTCTAGCAGGAATTAATGCATCTAGGAAGAATGTGGCTAATATATCTGAACCACTAGAAATTGAACCCGGTCCAAGCAGCTCAACAAGTTCTTCAATCATTGATTCTGAACCTTTGATAACACCGAAGCGGTTGAAGAAATCTGGTGAGTTCTTTAGCTTTCATATTAAATTTTATTTATATTTCAAAAAATGTTGTATTGGTAAATATTTTGTTTATGGGAATACTGTTTGCCTATTGAACCTCGGCAGTGTGGGTCTCAGCAGAGCTATACTGCCCCACTAAGAAAAACCCTGGTATCTCCAAAAAAATCAAAAACGAGATTTTTGCACCAAACAATTAATTGTGATTTTTACAATATATTTACGTAGAAAAAACCTGGCATTTTAATTTCCTACATAATTTATAAGGAAAAATTGTTTCCCCGTAAACGCCAAAAATAGTCTCTATGCTAAGTATAAACCTTGTATCATATATTTTCTTAGCAAAATTCTGGTATGTAACAGGAGATACGAGTTTTTAACGAAGAAAAATCAATATGCCAGGTTTTCTCTAAGGATATCCGCGTGTTCACTATCGACGCTGTCGATAACAGGTTATCACTTAGCATTTTGCCGAGTAAGCTATCATTTTATTGATTTGTTTCGACCTGTCATGTCGCACCGGCATTTGTAAGGTTATTCTAATTTTATTTGGAATACTGTTTAGAATATTACTTATTAAAGTGGTGATCGTTAGTGGCAAGAATATTAAACATCTTCCTTGGGTAAGTTTTAATTCTAAATTATTATTTCTAGAAATAATAATGCTCCTTAGATTTCAATGTGTCTGTAAAAGCCGATTTAGGGTCTTGTAAACATTAGGTACCTATCCACTATTTTTCAAATTATTTAAATTTTAAGGAAGAGCCCTCGATATCTAGAATAGTTTAAAAGAAAAAAATCGTTGGATGAAACAATTTTGATGGACAAAAAAATTAAACATAATAATTAAAATAAAGAATGTAGGAAATCCTATGAGCGTTGCCAACTTTCCTACTGCTTCTGACATTCAAAAAAAGTGATTCATCAACAATTTTTCTATACAGAATAGTTAAACAGAACATAATTTGCCAAAAAAAAAAAACATTAAATAATTGAAAGTGAGTGGATACCTAATGTTTACAAGAACAGCCAATTTATAATATTCGGCGCTGTACGTTGACGTCTGGTCTTTAAATCAAATTAAGTAATATGTTGTTCGTATTATCAGCCTCTAAAGCCGAATATGGACATTTTTGCTTTTACTATTAATGAGTGGTGGTATCCAGGGTGGAAGGGGTAGGGACAATATTTAAATAAAACAATTACAAAAAAGTGTATAAACTACTTCGCAATCGAAAAATTGTCGGGCATTTAACTATATTTTTTGTATTAAAACTAAGGTTCGATAGTTCATTTTTCATGACATTTTAGGCCCATGGACGGGACACTACGTTAGTGCGGCAGTCGTCAACATAAAACGTCAAAGTTTGTAAATCGACCTTAATGGTCTACAAAAATAAAAGTACAGCCTAAATTTTGTTTTATATTAATTTGGAATGGTAGTTTTACTAACTTATTTTTTTCTGTTTATTAATTAATTTATTATTAAGACCTGATCCCCTGCCCTGGTAGAAAAGTATTGCCATAATAGGATTTATATTTTATAAACAGGCATGTCTTTGAGGTCAAAGAAATTGGTGGCTATGGCGCTGCATAAAACTGAATCAGATCGATCATCAAATGAGCAGAAGTTATTGCCCCTTTATACCGAAGATGACATCCAAATAGGTGTTCTGGAACCATTATCGCGTTGCCCCATACAAGATTCATCAAGTAGGAAATGTCACGGAGAAATTAAACCAAAGCAAAAAAATACTGACGGGTGCTTTTTGAAAGTGTCATCTCATTGTGATGGTTTTTCTATTCAGCCTAGTATTGAAAATGAGCGCGTTGAAGTAGTTTTTTACACAAATAATGATGCATATCCTACCGACATTGTTACTGACACCGATGTTATAAACGATTGCGGCGACTCCAATAAAAATGACTCGTTGGCTGACACAGCTGATGTTTCAGCTGGTACTATAATAAACAATTATAATTTTGAACTATCCACGACAGAAGACCCTATTGCAAATGATAATAGTAAGTTTCATCTCAAGTAATTTAGAATTATTGTATGTAGAACTGAGATTATTTTTTAGACCAACAGCAAGAAACAGAATTAGATTCCAACGGCTATATTTTAGAGGCTGATGACCTAGCCAACAAAATATTAATATTACCAGAACTGGAAGATCAAACATTAGTTGAACCTATTGAACCTATTATTCCATCCGATGCAATAGAAAATAATGCCGATCAAGGTTTTTTGTTTTTTCTTTGTCTTCTTCAACCTTTATTAAATGAAATTTTATTTTACAGGTGATGAAAAGTACACGAAAAAAGGGAAAATTAGAAAACGGAAGAGTTTCAACATATCGGTGGACCAAAGGAAAAAAATTAAATGCTCAGAGATACAACAAAAACATAAAGTTCAAATACCATGTGACGCCAATAAATGCCAAAAGAAATGCTCAGAGAAGATCGATCAAGATAGACGAGTAGCAATAAATAAAATGTATTGGAATCTAGATTGGGTAGCTAAAAAAACATACATCCTTAATTCTGTCAACAGAGCCCCGATAAAAAGAAGACGCTCAGATTCTTCAACAAAACAAAATAGCTTTAAGTACTTTCTAAAAGATTCTGATGGTGAAACACAAAATGTCTGTAAGATATTTTTTTTGACGACCCTCGGATATAAAAAAAACAACGATTGGGCCATCCAAAGCTTTGTACAACAAGATTTTTTTAAAAATGGAAAAATCGCTCCCCTGGCTGACAAACGTGGTAGGAATGCGTCCAAGTTTAAAATATCTACCGAAGATATCGAAAAGCATATAGAAACATTTAATCCAGTAATTTCACATTACCGGAGAGAGCATGCTCCGCATCGCCGCTACCTGCCGAGTGATTTAACCATTGATGCAATGTATACGAACTTCCTGGAGACTCATCCTGATAAGAAATGTTCATATGAGGTTTACAGGAAAGTGGTTAAAAGCAAGAACATCTCGTTTACGAAGTTGGGCCACGAGGAATGTGAGCTCTGCGAAGGATTTCACTTACATGATGCTCTACATAATGAAACAAACTTGGACAGAAACTGTGAAGTATGCCAAAAATGGGAAGTGCACATTAACAGGGCAAAAAGGTCTAGAGAATTATACAGAAAAGAATGCGAATCAGTTTGTGAACCAAACACGTTAAGAGTTTCAGCTGATCTTGAAAAAGTAATAATGATTCCTCGGATTGATATGTTTAAAAAAGTTGTCTTCACTCAAAGAATAGTCGTATATAATGAAAGTTTTGTGCCATTAAAAACGCTGAAGAACAATAAGCCATTTGCAGCATTGTGGCACGAAGGAATATCAGGCAGAAGCAAGGAAGCAATTATTAGTACGTTCTTTTCATTTATGTTGCACAATCGTGATGTGGAGCATTTTGTGTTTTGGTTGGACAACTGTTCTTCGCAAAACAAAAATTGGGCGTTTCTTTCATTTTTAATGTTCATAATAAATTCCGACAAAATAGCTGCTAAGGATATTATCATAAATTACTTCGAGCCTGGCCATACTTTTATGTCCGCCGACAGTTTCCACCATCAGGTGGAACTATCGCTGAAGAAAGCAAAAAAAGTTTACGACTTTCATGATTTCGTTGAAGCAGTTCAAACCAGTAACTCGAAGCGTGTTACAGTTAAAGAAATGGCAGTTGCTGATTTTTTCGACTGGAAAGACTATTCTTCACAGGCAAAATTGAAAAAAATTGAGCCACGAGTTTACCTGTCGCAAGTAGTTAAGGTAATGGTCCAGAGAGGAAGCGATACTTTGAAAGTTGAGACGGATGATACTGGGGAGTTGAAACAAATAGATTTTTTACAAGTTAGAGCAATAAAGTCTGGGATAAAAGAACCCGCAGTCATGAAGAAACCCTCTGGAATTCCCAAAAGTAGAAAAGAACACATTCTGAAAAATTTAGGGGAAATTATACCAGCAAACCGGCATAATTTTTGGCGAGAATTGCCCACTTCCGATGAGCAGTAACTACATTTTTTTAATTTTAATTCGTTTCATTTTACTCATTTAGTATCGTTTTTTTTGTGATTTTTAAAATAATTTTTTTTAAGTATGTATTAATAAATTGATTATTGAATAAAATAATTTTTAGGACAATACAAAAATAAAGCAGTATATAAGAAAAAAATGTTCATCTCTCAGCTATGAATTTTATAATATTTACATAGTAAAAATCACGCTTCAGCCAAATTTGTATTATACGTGGTTTTAACTAAATAAATTCGGTTTCACTTTTAGCACTCTTAACCCGTATATAACATAACTAATATTCATAGCTTAGTTTCGCATTTTTTTTTCTTAGAAACGTTAACTTTGAGTTAACAAATGATATCTCAAATCATGTTATTGTATTTATTTAGAAAGAACTTAATAGAACCAACGAAAAACTTTAAGCGCGGTTTTCTCAAAACTTGCGTTACTGGAGATACCAGGGTCTTTCTTAATGGGGCAGTATAGTCCAACTCATAAACATGGCTACATCACAGGGTTTTATTATATATGTATCTTTAATTTCAGATGAGACTCAAGAAATTCTGTTGGAGATTTTGAAGAAAAAACGTCCCTCCCAGCCACAACTTTCTCCTGCATTGCAGAACATTCATGAAATGTTGGAGAAACTTCCTGTGCGCGTTCGGCATCAAGCCGAAATAGAAATGTTAAATAAAGTATATACGTTATAACTAGAACATTTCCCATATTAAAAATATTGAGTGTTTCAAAATTAGTTTAGATTTTTTAAGCCATTAGGGTCAGAGTTAAACAGTGCATTATACATAGGAAAAAAATGTATTGAAAAATGCTACCAACACAGCTAGACCCCTTTGAACAGGAGTCTATGACCTATGTCTATAGATTTTTTCAAATTATTTCCAAATTATGTTATAAAAACATCTCCAATTTCATGTTTTTGACTTACCCTTTAGGATTAAATTTAAAATAGACTACCCCTTTCACAAGGGCATAGCGCCAGGAAGGGACATTTTTCAATACATTCATATTAGTTTATTTGTGTGCAGAATGCGCTTTTGAATCTTGACAACCTTATTTTAAGGGCGTTCTGTATACAAGTGAAATCATATTTTTCTTTAGAATTTATTTCATGCGTATTTATAGTATCTCAACGACAACAAAATCTGTTTCACTTCTGTACATTTTATTTTATATTAAGCAGATAAAAATATTTCATATTTAAGATTACAATAATTGACATTAATTGACATACAGCAAAATAATTTATATATAATTTCTTTACTACAGTTAACAGACTAAGGTATAATATATTTGCAATCAGGGTTCGAAAATATGATATTTATATAGATGTACATGATATATAATATATAGGATATAATATCAGATATATATCCAATATATCATTCATTTTCATAATTTTATTTAAAAAAAAGCATTGTTTTATTTATAAATTATAACATAAACTTTAATTCTAAACAATTTATTATATCAATTATTTGGACCACTGTGGCATAATTGGGTCAATATTCACAAAATATTCGGTTATCATATTAGCCGTTTGGCTATAGGCATTTCCACCCATTCTTCCAGCAGTTTCAAGTCCTCTGATGACACTTCTCCATTCCCCTGGGTTTACTTCCCCATTACTTTCTTCCCTATCTACATAATTAGAGGAGCAGTACCGTTTATTATCAGACTTATTGAAATCTGCGCTTCTAAAATAATTAAGTCAATATATATAATAAGTCTATATTATGCGAAAAAAATTATTTTCCAAAATGACACAATTTTGAAAACACCTCCATCGCTTTGTCGCCCTTTTGCACCAATATCCACTAGAGTGAAACGATATTCGGCGTCACAAATGCCTAATAAAATGATACTAAAATATTCTTTATAATTGTAAAAATCAGAGCCAGTATTTGGCGGTGCCTAAAAAAATCAATACATCACATTATTTCAACTTTATAGCTTGAATAATTCTACTCATGAAATTACCTGTATTCTAATATGTTTGCCATCTATGGCACCTATGCAGTTTGGACAATTCCATTTTAACTTAAAATCTTCTGCTATTTCTTTCCAAACTGCTTCTGTTGGTACACATAGATGTTCTTGCTTTAATACAGTCCAAATAGCCGAACATGTGCTTCTAATAGTATTTGATACGGTACTTACACCTAAGCGATAATTGTATGATATACTCTTCATGCTTGTGCCAGCAGCTAAATATCTACAAAATGGCATAAATTTGGAAGTTAGAGAATTTTGCTATAACTTTAAAGAATCTGACTTAAAAATGTAACCATATGTATCTTTTGTATTGGAATATTTACCTAAGTGTTGCTGATAACATTTCACCAGGTGTAATCGGTTCTGTACTATGATACGTTTTTGAAAGAATCGGTGACAGCTTTGCCTCTAACTTATCAAAATCCTCTATACTCATTCTATGGTAATTATAAAATTTCTTTTCATCTTTAAGGTGCAATTCTTGATCTAAATTATGATATGCACCTTGCTGTTTTCTAAACTTAAAAACTTCACAGGTGCCAATAGGCCTTTTTTTCTGTCTCTTGATGTTCTTCAACAACAAATAGGCAGCAATGGCTCGCCTTCTTCGCCAGTAAAAAAGATCAATATTAATGTTACTCATTGTAAAAAGCACAAAAATAAAATATGAGAAAACCCCAAAGGAAAACCCAAACAAAAACACAAAATCCACAGGCTACAGCAAAAAACATGTAAACTGACGTAAACATGAAAAAACCATGGAGCAATAAAAATATAAACTGTCAAAAAGGTCTGCCAATATGCTGCCAATCTCCAAAATGATAAAAAAAAATATTCCTAGAAAATTCGGAAGCGTGTGAAAAGGTATTCAGAATCGCACACGAATCGCAATTCGGAAATCGTAATTCGCAAGTGCATGAACTAGGCTTTAATTACCTTATTTTTACAACACGGTATCAATAGGCCTCTTAATTATGCCCATTCTAACAAAAAAATAAGATATAAACAGTTATTTTATTTTAAAATCGACGAAATACCAGAATACCATAATACCAGAGGTATTAATATCTAATAATTAAGATATTAATAACAGTGAACAAGAAACGATGATTCAGTGAAGTCATGGTAGGCTTTGCTTTTGTTACGTAATAGTATAAACGTCAAATTGTTATTAGATCAACATTTTGATAGTCTTATCAGCGTTTTTTTTTAACTTTTAAATTGCCAGGACCTCCACAAGAAAGGAAAACACAAAAAAAGTACCTGATAAAGATAAAATGGACGCCACTGAAACTATTTCAAATATAATTATTTACCAAAAACTGAACGAAATGCAGAAAAGTCTAGAATTCCTCTCAGCAAAATTTGATAAAAGGCAAAACGAAAATAAAGAACTGAAAAAGATACTGAAAACCAGGGTTGGAAAAAATCATGATTTTTTTTTAAAAATCAAAAAAATCAGACTTTTTTTATTTAAATCAGATTTTATTGATTTTAATAGAAAACATTATTTAAATCGGATTTCCAAATAATTAGGACTTAATTCCAATTAAATTCCTATCCTAAATGGCTAAATCTTCATAACTCTGCCCGCAATACTGAGAACACATGTCATTTTCCCAGCCATCGGTCACCAATATATTCTGCAAAAAAAGTCGCTCGCTTCAGATCATAAGGATTTTTTTGAAATGCCACACAACACACATGTATTATTTTTGTAATGTCAACGCCTAGACATAAAAGTAAAGCACTTTTACGCCTAAGCAAAAAAGTACAAAAAATATATTATTAAACTGATATTAAGCGTCAATTTCAACGAGTGTACAAATTATTACTCGATTACTTACAAGGCATTACTTTGTATATTATTTGCAACGTTTGGAATTGATTAAAAAATTATTTGTTAATGTTTAATTTGTAAAAATATAGTATATTCTACTCGGAGTAAAAATGTACTTTTATGCCTCCCTGTTTACACTAGTCCGTCAAACGTACAACCTCGTCAAAAAAAGTATAATTTTTATTCCTTACACAATACACTATTGTTCGAAAATAGTCTTAAGTCGAGAATGAAATTAGTATTAACTATTGTCAAAGTGTAAAATAAAAAGATATAAAACAGCATATTTTCTGACAACGCTTTGAAGATGCTGAAGAAATTACGTCAAAAATCGGTCCAACATTTTAATTGATGAATAGATATGTAGTAGGTATAATATGTGGTATACAAATCATTTTTTATATAGTTTTATAACATTTACAATTTTTTTTCAAATTATTAAACGTATTTAAATGTTACAATAGCAAGTGTAACATTTTATTTAACGAATAGATATATAGGGTATATATGTTATAGAAATATTTTGTATAGTTTTCTAGGACACATTTTTATAACTTTTACAGTTATTTTTCGATTTATTGTAAAGTTTTAAAAAAGTTGATTTTTTTATTTAAATCACATGATTAAAATTAAAAAAAATCACTTAATTTAAATCATGATTTAAATCATGCCAACCCTGCTAAAAACCCAAGATAAAGATAACAAAATGTTAAAAGAAAGACTAAAAGCCCTTGGAAAAATTGTTGAAAGTCAGGAGAGAAAAAATAGAAAACAATATAGTTATTAGTGCAGTAGATAAAATAGGTCAAAATGAAAATACAAAAGAAGTTGTAACGAAAATATTACAACAAATGAGTTGTGACACAAATACCATTGCAAATATACAAAACTGTTACCGAAAAAATTCAAATAACGAGAACAACCCAATCATAATCACACTAAACAACAAGCAATCAAAAATTAATATTTTGAAAGCACGAAAAGAAATTGGATCATTACAAACAAGAGAATGTCACATTAAAGGAAGGAACAACGATATATTCATAAACGAACACCTAACAACTTTAACAGGGAAAATATTTTACGCTACTAGACAACTAAAGAAAGAGAAGAAAATCAGATATACATAAATTCGAGACGGCAACGTATATATCAGGAAAACAGAAACAAGCGACAAAATAAATATCAAACACTTGGCAGATATCGAAAAATTAGACCAATAAATATAAAACAATAAAAACAAAAAATAACATAACCGCCATAGCATAATGCAAAACATAAGAAGCATTAGAAACAAGTTTGAAGAAATTTAAACCTTTCCCAAAATACAAAATTATCCGGAAATCATTGCACTCACAGAAACATGGTTATCACCAGAAGAAGAACACCTATATAACATTAATGGCTATAATGTAATATTTAGATCGCGCCAAACGAGAGGAGGTGGAATACTAATATATCTTAAACTTGGAATAGACTATAAAGAAAAAATAAACAGCATCATAAATAAAATAGAAATAATAACAATCGAACTAATACAAGAAAAAATAACAATCACTCTTATAAACTCATCGGCAAAAGTCTTGCACCCCCTTACTATTTTAATAAAAAATTACATTCCAAACTA